GGGGGGGGGCTAAAAAGTTTTCGCGTTTGATGTAAGATAGCGTCCGAACGTCTTGTGCTAGAGTGATCAAACGTAGTGACTTTCCCTGAAATATTGTTGTGAACAATTTCATAGCATTGTAATAATTTTTCGTGTTGCCATGGCAATGGGTTTTGACAGATATTTTTTGCAAAAGTCAGGAATTTTTGTTTAAACAATAAACTTTTCTGACTTTTATGTGAAGTTGTACATGCTTACTAAATATAAATTACATGTTATGGAATTCTGGATATTTTATGGAATTTTTACCAATAATTATGCATAATTTATTATACTTTGATGACGTCATTGGTTAAAATCCAAGATGGTGGACCACATGATAAGACCAGGTTCATTCCGGCAATTTTCCTCAAAATTCCAGCCATACTTCGACTTTTTTTTAGACAAAAGGTTAAATTGAACCTCTTTAGTCTATTTCCATTGCATTTTTAAAAAATGTTATTTTCGAAAATTAAATATTAACGATCCAAGATGGCGGATAGTTTGGATATGCATGACGTCAATATGAGCTCAAAAGTTTGAAATTTCGAAAAAAACTCCGCAATCCACAATATGCCCACTTAGCAGGTATATAAATTAGATGTGTTTTTTTTTTCGACTGACTAAAGACTGTTTCCCTCTCGACAGGAGCGGCAGGAATGGTGTGGTTTATCGCCTGGATGCTGATCGCCTACGAGAGCCCTGCCGCCCACCCCACAATCACACAGGCTGAAAGGATATACATTGAGGACAGTATAGGCGGGTCCACAAAGCGTACCCTTGTAAGTATGGCATTGACTGCATTTCGTTCTGTTATAACTGTTTAATTTAGTTAGTTTATTAAAGAATATGTCTGTTCACATAAGCAGATTAAGCCGTATGTATTTTTAAAGTCTTTGGTATGACGGGGTCGGACTCACGACTTCTCAGTTACAACGCAAGCACTATTCCCTATTGAACTATAATTACATGTGTATAACAACAGAAATTCAAATGTAATAAACAAAAGTTCAGAAATGTTTTCAGTAGTAGCAGGGTAAAACCTGGATCTTCACAGACGTGTATATGCCCATGTTAAGGAAAATTTAATGAAAACCTGGGATTTCGATTTTCAATACTTAAATGGTGCTCAAATTATTTGATTCTTGGCAAATTGAAAAATCGTTCATTTCGTAGTTGGGTCCTTGAAACGGTGTGATTGAAGCATTTCCGCTGTTCACAGTCGATTGACTTCTCATCCCATCGTATTGCACTGAGTTTGGAGTCAAATTAAATCCACGGGCGAGCGTTTACCCTCATGAACTGAAATGCAAAATCCAAGGAAAATTAGATAATCAAAGGAGGTGCAATAATTTCCAATCTAGCAAGTACAGCTTACAATTGTGATACTAAAATTATTTACCACCCACTTCTTTACTTTAGACCTTATTCAAAACATCAACATTTACCACTGAAATCTGTGCATTTTAGCCCTTTTTTCAGTTTACACTGCTTGTATTTTGTTCTATCGGCGATATTTTTTTGCTTCATATTTCGTCCATTTTGTTGTTTTTGTATATTTTTTTTTCATTTTCCGTCATATTTACACATGGTTACCCACTCAGTGGCAACTCAGTGGTTTTCGGTGGGGCCCTGTATTGTACATAAATAAACAAAATACATAAATCATTTCACCCCTCTTCGTTCATTCCTTTTTGCTTGTTTTTGTTCCTTTTGTTTAGATCTCGTAGCGATTCAAGTGCATGCCAAATTATTCCACGTGTATCACATGTCCATTTTGTCCAAATATGATGAAAAATGAGCACCACTTTATAATGGGCTGTACACTATACAATGATAAGCGCCGCTAACATATATTATGTACGTAGTTTGCCGCATACATATTCTCTGTACGAAGGACATACAGTTAAGTTTTTTACTATCTTTAGTA